ATATATATATATATATATGTTTGTGTAGGTACATACACATACTGTGTATATTACATGTACTCAGAAATTGTAGGTATTAACATTATCCCAAGTCTTTTTTGTTTGAAAGTTGATTCAAGGTCTAAAAAAATTGAGATCTTCTAGAAACTCTGTGTAATATAAAAAACATAAAAGGGCATTTTGCCTTTGGGGTTGAACGTGCAGCTGAGGATATTTATTGGATTATGTAGTTGGATGTGCCCAACAAGTTACTGGGTTTGTTTTTTCCCGGTACCCACAGAAGCTGTCATGAGATTTCTTTGTGCAGATACAGAAATGATTGTCACTTGACTTCAAAGCCAAGAATATTGGTGCCTTATAATTACTTAGACCTGTTGATGAATCAGGAATGCAGAGAAATTACAGTGCCGCTTTTGAATAGCACTGCTGATGGATTTATTGCTAGGCATGAGAGAGAAATTTTGACAGTGGTTGAATTCTCATCTGATAGGGCTGAGAAATACAATGCATTTCCCAGAACAGAATTGCAGGGAAGAGAAGTAGATGTTATGGAAATAACTAGCATGGTAATTGGTGGGAGGTGGGTTTATTATTCCTTTCCTATTCATCTTCTCTCTATATAAATTTAGACTCCTAATCATTTATTTTCTTTTACTCTCCACTCTTTTCCACTCCTTCAACCCACCCAATATTTGCCACCAACCAGGCCACAAGTTAGCAAACAAGTTTGTCTACAATTCTCACAGAGCTATTTGAAGAATTTAAAGCTAAAAGTTTGAGCTAGATAGGTTGAACTTGTAAAACTCAATACATTATAGACTAAAATCTTTAGGGTATCAGTTTCAGATTTTTGGTCAGCTATTGATGGACTTTAAAAGCATGGGTATTTGTCCAATGTTTCCTTCTTGTCCACCCCCCCCACCACCTCCAAATTGCTTTCCAAAATTTCAAATTAGGATTTCATATATGCTTTTGGGAAAGGACTCACTGTATGTTAGAGTTGAGCTGAGGTGATAAATGATTTCCTAGAACCTCTAGGCTCAGATACAAACCCCATGGTTAGGCATTTAAAGCCATTTATAACTTGGCTCCAACTTACCTTTCCAGGCTTCACACACACTATGTGTGGTCCAGCCAGACTGGCCTTGCTGTTCTCACACATGATATATCTCCTATCTCTTGTGTAATTGCACAGGCTGTCCCCAGATTTAGAATGTACTCCCTCCTGACCTTCATCTCCCCTAGTTTCCTTCAAAGCTCAGCTCAAATGCCATCTCCTATAGGTCTTTTTTCTGATGTCTCCAGCTGCTAGTACCGCACACCTGAAATGACATAGTGTTTATTTTGCTTATGTTTATAGGACCGATAGTAATTAGACAGGATTAGTAGGACAACCCTTTCTAACCCCGTCCTTGAGATTTTGAAGCAAAGAAGCACATGTCCAATTTTTTAGAATGTAAAGGAATAGAAAAAATAGCATTGGGGTGTGAAACTTTCGTTTTATCAACGATGTTGGGGAGACATATTTATGTATGCACAGAGTTATCTGCTTTCTCCTGTTTTCAAAAGAAAAATCATGAAGTTGTCAGGCTTACTGTTCTGGGACCTCTGCCTTGTGTGTCTCATGTTAAGGGACAAGGTAAAACCTCAGTGTAGACAATTCCATTGTAAAGGCAAAACCTTGTGGGATTTAATGTCTCAGTGTATTTGTCTCTTCTCTCAAACCACAGCTAGGTAGGTAGATTTTTAAATTGTAAAGTTGTCCATTAAGGTTAGTGTGGATGCCCAAACAAATTCCACAACCCTAAATAAATCCAAACAAAAACAAATACCTCTATCTTTGCTTTTTCAGACATCCTCTCTATTTCAGTCAACTAGCGTGTGCAGTGACCAAAAGTTTGGGTCTCTCAAATTGTCTCAGAATGGTAACAAGGTTGACAAAGAAACTAGCCCTCTGCCAAATTCTGAGGCACTGTTAGCTATCTTCCACCAGTCGGGAACCCAGAGTCCTGATTCCAGAATGGTAGGTAGAGTTCACCTTCTTTCTCTAGCTTTCTCTGCCCACTCCCCTAGCCCCATTGCCTTTTTAACACAGACCCAACTGGGCTAACTGTGGGATTTGGCTTAGAGAGCAACGGGGCCAGGAAGTGATATTCTGTGTTTTGCAATAACTTATCATGGGCTGATATTTGCTCTGTATCTCTTGTGTGCTAGGCACAAAAAGGCCACCTATATGTACAAAAATACTTATAGCAGCTCTTTCTGTGGTGGCAAAGAATTGGAAATTGAGGAGATGCCCATCAATTGGGGAGTGGCTGAACAAATTGTGATATGTGATTACGATGGAATATTATTGTGCTATAAGAAATGATGAGCAAGATGCTCTCGGAGAAGCCTGGAAAATCTTTCATGAGTTGATGCAAAGTGAAATGTACTGTGTACAAAGTAACACCAATATTGTAAGATGATCAGCTGTGAATGACTTAGCTATTCTCAGCAATATAATGATTCAAGATAACTATGAAGGACTTACGATGAAAAATGCTATCCATCCCCAGACAAAGAACTCATGGTATCTGAATATAGATTTAAGCATGCTTTTATTTTTACTTTATTTTTGAGGGGTTTTTTTTGCTCTATGTTTTCTTTCCCAACATGATTATTGCGAAAATGTTTTGCGTGACCATACATATATAACCTATATAAAAATGTGTTCTCAATAGAGGGGTAGGAGTGGGGAGGGAGGAAAGGAGAGAATTTGGAACTCAAAGTTTTAAAAAAATTAATGTTAAAATTTGTTCTTAAGTGTAAATGAAGAAACATGAAATACTAAAAAAAAAAATTTAAAAAAAAAAAAGGCTGTGCATCTGCCATCCAGATAGCTGTGCCCATGGAGCCAATCTCACAACTATTTCATCTTGTTTACTCTGTGTTCAAACATTGAAGCTGCCCTGGTGCATGCTCTAAGTTCCCTAAGCTGTGACAAGAGAAAGTGCCAGTATTGGTTTATCTTCTCAAAGATGATGACATTGCTGTCCACTTTTCTTAAAAACCTTTGTATAAGTTGCCTTTATGGCCTGCGTGTCCTTGGACAAATCACTCAATCTCTCTAGGCTTCAGTGTCCCCACCTTAAAGTGGACTAGGCGACCTTTGAAAATCCTTCAGTTTTGTATATGTGATCTTGTGATCCTCTAGGTTGCCTCTATGTGCCTGGTTTGCAGAGTAAGATGTTTTCTACCTCATCTTTACATCATTTTGAGAGATGGAAAGGTGGAGTGGGCCTTATCACTTACCATTTTCACGTTGTCTTCTCAGCCAAAATGGGACTCAATCTTTTACAATTTCAGATTAGACTAAAAAGATTAGAAGACCTTCTCTGAATGGAATAAATTGTCTCCATCCAAAGTCTGAAAGTTCAACTGGGGCTTCATAATCTTCAGTAAAAATTAGTTATAGATATTAGCAACCTTTTGTTTGGCTGTGACCGATTTACCTTCCAACAAGGTCACAAAAGAAGAAAATATCATCTACAATTCTTTTTCTCCTGAGCACATGTTAAGAACTATTGTTTACTAAATAGGCAGCATTCTAATTTCAGTACAAATTGTTTCACAACTGAAATAAAGAGTAAATATGAGTATCTGTCGTTGATGCTTATTAGCTCTGTTACTTGCGCAGTTCACCATCTCTGGGCCTGAATTTCCTTATATGTAATAAAGATGGGTTGGATTAGATGGTCTCTGAGGACCCTGTCAATTCTAAGAGTCTGTACAGAGCTAAAACATAGATCTTTCCTGCAGTAGCTTTGTTGATGCCAAATATGAACACCATGATCTTGCAATGTGTGAACCCTATGGTCCTGAGATCTCTAAATAGCTATGGGCCAGCCCTCAATTGCACAAACATTCCCCAAACCTCATTTTGGTAACTGGCTTCAACTTTGCCCCCCACCACAACTTAAATTAGGATTGCTTAGAAATACCCAGATTGGGTTTTCTCCCTTCCCTTTCCCTCCCCTCACCAACCCACTCCATAAACTATTCTTAGTGATGCACAGTAGACATGCAGTATGAAATGTCCTGAAGGTTAACAGACAGGAGGAGGACGACGTGAAAGGAGGTGTAAAATAATCGTTCCCTGAATAAGGAAGTTAATTTCTATCTGATTTCTGCTATATCTTGTTTCAGATAATGGAAGTGGAAGATTCTTGAATTCATTTTATTTCTTTTCTTCCTGCCTCTCCTCCAAATCCTGCAACAGAAAAGGGAGCAGGAGAGGGTCTCTCTTTCCTGCCCACCCATTAACTAGAGCAGACAAAGGAGAGACTCCCATGCTCTGATATTTTCAGAGGAGTTTGCAATAGTCTCTTTTGGCATTTATTCCTCAGCCTGCAATCATGGTCACGAGGTATTTTTGTAGGCAATCTTGTTCTTCTTGTTAAACTTTGCTACTGAGGTGTAATTGCCTGTAATTGCTGACTTCTCAATGAACTTCCTCTTCTATTATGTCTTGTGGTCTAAGAAAACATGGTGGGAGCATGTGGATGATGTAAGCCATACCTGAAATATGCATATTATGGTTTCTAGTCAAGAGAACAGATAAAAGCAAGCCTTTGGAACGACCATTTTGTGGAATACGGCAGAACAGTGTGTATGTTTCGTACGGAAAAGATCCGCAAGCTTGTTGCCATGGGAATCCCTGAATCTTTACGGGGTAAACTCTGGCTCCTGTTTTCAGGTAAAAACTTAATTTCGCTTTTTCTCTTGTATCCTTGACCAAATGTTAATTTGGGATATTACTTACAAATAGAGGACAAGGTCAGAGGGATTTTTCTGGATTCTAATTGAGTCATCCGTATTTGTTTTTTACTGTGGAATCTCAAACATTAAGGGCTTCTTAAGTCTGAATATTTTCGTTTCTGATTTTGGGCAAGTCACTAAACCACTTGGGGTCTGTTTTTTCATCTATTAGATCATCAAAAACCCAGCTCTGTAATTAGAATATTCTTTGTATATTATAAGGATACCTCTATTAACAAATCCCCTAGGAATAGGGGGACTTCCATTAACTCTTTACATGACTCTTTTTTTTTTTTTTTTGGGCTAGGCAATGGGGTTAAGTGACTTGCCCAGGGTCACACAGCTAGTAAGTGTTACATGTCCAAGGCCGGATTTGAACTCAGGTCCTTCTGAATCCAAGGCCGGTGCTGTATCCACTGTACCACCTCGTTGCTCCTCTTTATGTGACTCTTGACTAGTCCAACCACATAATTATACAGATGAAGAAACTGAGGCTTAGAAAGGTTGCTATTTGTCTCGAATCATATAGCGAGTTGGTGGCAGAGCTATGTAGATCCCTAGGTCTCCTGACTTCTATGTTAGTGTTGTTTGGCCTCAATGAATTGAGTCCTGTTAAAATGAACAAATAAGCAAAAGATATCCATCCTTGTATGAACTATGACAAGCCAAGCTGCTGTGTTTGCAGCTGTACGACAAAAATACCTCCAGGTGCTGTTTCTTCCCACTTGAAGGCATTTAGGACCCACCCAAGACAAAACTGTGGTGTTTGAAGTTTGTATTCTGCCCACAGCTTTCTTCTTCTGTGTTCTCCCTGGCTCAGCAGTGACCCCTTCTACTGCTTCAGATGCCCAAAGCCCTCTTGTTTGCTTTTACTTCTCCTAACAAAAGAGAAGAATTAGGAACTTGTCACACTTGATTAGCCAAATCACTATACTCTGAGGAAATTCATTCACATCAAAATGTTGCCTTCTTCAGCCATTTTCAATCATATCTGTAAGGTGAAGAAGATTTCTTAGCATCAGATTTGGTATAAATATTGAGATTATCCCTCTGGAGGCTCCATAGTGATTATGGACAGAACTAGAGACAGATAGATGAAAAGTTATGAGGGATGTACCATATATTTAATATTATTAAAAAATATATGTATCTTTTTAATTCTGTGAGGGTTGGGCTGGGCCTGGGAGTGAGTAAGTGGGAAAGGATATGGCCCCAGCCCTTTTGCCAATTTATTTCCTCCAGTACCTCAGCACTGTTTCCCATAGTACCTGGTGCTGCTTTGCAGAAAACCTCAGATACTTTGGACAAATTTGGATGTCATCATGGTCACAGTATATTTGTCCCGTTCCCACAGACTCGCACTTGTCCATGAGGCATCAGATACGGCAAATCAAAGGGTTCTAGGCTCCCTTCTTTAACAGAGATATCTCTTCTTGGTTTCAAATTGGAAGCAGTGTGGTATAATGAAATACCGTTGGACTGACCGACCTGGGATCTAGACCTGAAAACGCCTAACTAGATGTGAGATCTTATTACTTAATCATGCTGGGCCTCAGTTTCCTCATCTGTAAAATGAAGGTCTCAAACTAGATGAACTCTAAGGCAGAGGTTTTAATGTGGGATCTATGGACAGATTTTGGGGCGGAAGTCCTTAAACTTGGATTAGAAAAAATGTCTTTTTTCCTCCCATAAACCTATTATTTGCTTTGTAATTCTATCTGTTATATTTATGCATTTAAAAGTGTTACTCTGAAAATGGAGCCATAGGTTTCACCAGACTGCTAAAAGGGTCCATGACACAAAAAAGTTAAGAATCACTTACCTGATATGTTTTCCAGCTATGTGTTCCCTTCATTCTATGATGCATAGTTTGTTGTCCTTCCTAAATCATTAAGGCAATCCCAACTGCTTCATGTAGACCATTTTCAGGCTCTTTTATAATTATTGAATGAATGAATGTGGATCAAACATTTATTAAAGCACCTGTTGTGTGCAGAAAAGTCTGCTAGGAGAGATACCAAGTTTAGAAAAGACATGGTATCCACCCTCATGGAGCTTACATTCTAGCATGGTAATTTACATTTGTATAATATAATTTTAAGGTTTACAAAGAATTTTACTTGTAGCTCCCTTTAGAAGTAGGTTGTGTTATTACTGTTATCCTGTCACTTGCAAATCAGCACTTAGCAAAGCGCCTGTACATAGTAGGTGCTCAGTAATTATTACATGAACTAAAGCAGTGATTCTTAAACTTTTTTGGCCTCAGTACCCCTTTACACTCTTCAAAATTATGAGGACCTCCCCCAAAGAGCCTTTTATGGGTTCTATCTATTGATATTTACTGCATTAGGAATAAAAATATCTTAGCATTATTATGAAAATAGTTTTGACTTGGAGGTTCCCAAGACTTTTTCAAGGGATCTCTGAGGCCAAAACTATTTTTATAATAATAATACTAAGATGTTTTAATTCCTAATACAGTTTTAATTCCTAAAAATGCTGAATTAAAGAAAACTATATATATACTTGTGCGTAATCCTGTCATGAGAAAATGTATACTGTTAAAAGTAATTTTTTTAAAAGTTCATAAGTGCTATTTATTTTCACTATGAACTATATTATTTTCCCTCTAACCAAGTATGCATCTTATAAAATAATGTTAATAATTCTTCTGGGTCAAGGCTATGCGAGAAAAGGAAGTAAGCTCAATTGTGCACAGTTTTAAAGTACTTTATGTTCTCCATCATACCAGATAACACGGATGTTCTTTGATGAATATAACTCCCATGGTGACACTGTCCTGGAAATAATTCTTAATTCCCTTTGCACGTATATTGTTTAAAAAATCCTCAGATGCTGTAACTGATCTTGCCTCTCATCCTGGTTACTATGGGAATCTGGTAGAGGAGTCGATGGGCAAATGTTGCCTAGTAACAGAGGAGATAGAGCGGGATTTGCACCGCTCTCTCCCAGAGCACCCTGCCTTCCAAAATGAAACAGGAATCGCCGCCTTGAGAAGAGTGCTAACAGCCTATGCTCACCGAAACCCCAAGATTGGATACTGCCAGGTGAAGTCATGATAATGGGCTTATCTACCTATCTTCACAGGAAACCATATTTTCTTTACCCCAACACTTGAAATTTAAAAAATGAATAGTGATTCATGTATAATAACCGATGTCAAATTACTTGCCTTCTCAATGAGGAAGCATGGGAGGGAGGGAGGGAGAGAATTTGGAACTCAAAATTTTTAAAAATATGAACATTGAAAATTTTTACATGTAATTGGGGAAAAAATATTAAATAAATATTTAAAGAATGAAGAGTGATTAGGATGGGGAACATCATGAGTTGACTAACTTTACTGTCTGACCCTAGGAGTGTTAATATCTTCCTTCTCTGTCTCAACTTTACTATCTATAAAATGGGGTTGATAATTTCCTTACACAGCATTATATGCCTAACAGTATGTGTAATGGCTGAAGATGTGTTGAAAAGTAAGTAGACTCAGAGGGTAAACTATTGTTTTAAGAAGAAGCATATGGAGATAGAGAGATTCCCCATTTGAACTGCACTAAATTTTTGTGATTTCATGAACAATTTGCTAATAGTAAGGGCAGTTATGTGGCACAGTGGATAGAGTGCTGGGCCTGGAGTCATGAAGGCTCATCTTCCTGAGTTCAAATATGGCCTCAGACGATTACTAGCTATGTGACCCTGGGCAAGTCACTTAACCTTCTTTTCCTCAGTTTCCTCATCTGTAAAATGAACTGCAGAAGGAAATGGCAAACTGCTCCAATATCTTTGCCAAGAAAACCCCAAATGGGGTCATGAAGAGTTAGACACAATTGAAAAATAACTAAGTAACAAACAAGAGTAAGATGAAAACCGAACAGCAAAAACAACTCCAAATTAGATTGTAGAAGTTTGTGGCATCTGAAAATTGAAGATGTTAAACTTTATTTTCCAGGGAATAAGCAGGGTTAGGGCAAACTAAAAGCTGTATAATGTCTGTGCACAACAAACACTGAATGGTTTGGGGCAGATTGCAGTTGTCCTTGAACTTTTGGCTATCTATGCAATTAATGTAGATCACTGCAGCCAGATTTCTTGCATGGTGACCTACAGTGATTTGATGCAACAAACTTGCTCCGTTAGAGGGTGTCTATTTTATATGCATTGATGTGGCTCGGATTTCTTTTGGTATTTTCTAACCCTCTAATCTAACATCTGAAAACTAACCAATGATACCATTAACAAGCATTCATTCAGCACCTCCCCCATGGGCCCAGTACTATTGTAGGCATTGGGGTACATGAATAAAAGTGAAATTGGCCCTGCTCGTCTGGTTTTACCTCTCCCTTTGTGTTATGATGGTGATCCACTCTTGTGTCCTCATGCAGTACATCTTTCACACTGTTCTTTGATCTTATTATCATATCACTCCTCTGCTCAGAAATCTTCATTGGCTCCCAATTGTGTAGCTCCTAAAGTTTAAATTCCTTTTCTTGGCATTCAGGGCCCTTTGTATTGTGGAACCATCTGAAATTTTTAACCTTATTTCATTTTATTCTCTTCCATGCATATTATATTTAACCAAAATTGACTTTCTGCCCCAAATGGAGCCTATTATTTACTACTGGAGGCTGGTAGGTGGCACAATAGACAAAGTGTTGAGCCTGAAGTCAAGAGAGATAGTTGTTGAGTCTTTTTTCAGTTGTGTCCGACTCCTTGTGACTCCATTTAAGGTTTTCTTGGCGAAGATACTGGAGAGGTTTGCCATTTCCCTCTCAGCTCATTTTATAGATGAAGAAACTGAGGTAAACAGGGTTAAGTGACTTGCCTAGGGTCATATAGCTAGCAAAATGTTTTGAGGCCAGATTTGAACTCTGGAAGATGAATCTTCCTGACTCCAGGCCTGGCACTCTGTCTATCCACCATGCCACCAACTGCTCCAGAATAGATAGACCTGAATTCAAATAGGGTCTTTTTTCCCCTGGGCAAATTACTTAACCCCTGCCTACCTCAGTATCCTTATCTAGAAAGTGGAGATAATAATAGTACCTACCTCACAGGGGTGCTATGAAGACCAAGTGAGATAATTTATATAAAGTGCTTTGTACAGTGCCTGGCACATAGCAGGTATTTAATAAATGTTGATTGCTGATTAGCACATATTAGGAGCTTACTAAATGCATGTTCCCCTTATATTTCCCCACCAACATCATACCTTTGCTAATACCATTCCCTGTGCCTAGAATATCTTTTTTCATCTTCATCTGAATTCCTACCCATCCTTCAAAATCAAACACAGATGCTCCCTTTTCCATTAATGCCCATTAGTAACAACCTTCCCTTTTCATGTGGCACCTTGTTTTACATCTCTCTAATGAACTTAAAATGTAGTATTGTGTATTATAGTTTATGTTCATGTCTTGTACTCTCATACTTGATTGTAACTCCACGAGGGCAGGTGTGTCTTATTTAAACATTGTGTCTCACTCACTCATTGTCTCATGCAATGCCCTGTCTATAGCAGATATAGTACATTTCTTGAATGAATGCACTAAAATGAGTGGTCAGTAATCTCCTCCTTCCCTGTAAATTCTGTGCAGTCGATGAACATTCTGACATCTGTGTTACTCCTCTATGCCAAAGAGGAAGAAGCCTTTTGGCTGCTGGTTGCTGTGTGTGAACGGATGTTACCAGATTACTTCAATCATCGAGTAATAGGTAAATGACTTCCATTTGTACTACCTCTGTACCTGGAAATAAATACAGTGTTAGTGGCAAAGTTAGCATATATAGACTAAGTAAAGAGTTTTATCATTTAGAACAAAAGTGTCAAACTTACACATCTGCAAAATTCTCCTTAGGGCTGGAACGAGATTAAAATGTAATTGGGAAATGTTTAACAAAATAATTAAAAATATGATATTACATAGATAATGTCCATTTGTGGTTTTCCAAGTCAATATGTGGCCTGCAGGGATCCATTTCTGCTTGAGTTTGATGCTGCTGATTTAGAAAATTAATTAAGCATCTTTTACTATATTAGGGCCAGGGCAGCTAGGTGAACAGATAAGAATGCTGGGCCTGGAGTCATGAAGACTCCTCTTCCTGAGTTCAAATCTGGCCTCAGACACTTACTAGCTTTGTGACCCTGGGCAAGTCACTTAACCCTTTTTGCCTCAGTTTCCTCATCTGTGAAATGAAACGGAGAGGGAAATGGCCAACCACTCCACTATCTTTGCCCAGAAAACCCCAAGTGGGGTCACACAGAATTGGACACAACTGAAAAACAACAACTGCATTAGGGACTGCCCAAAAATTAGAGGGCATACTTCTTGCCTTCTATTTGCAATAACAATTCCTATGTACACACAAGTTTAAAAAAATTTTCCTTTTTTAAATTAAGGAAAATTCACCTTCTCTTTATCCTAACTCACCTTCTCCCCAATGAAAAACAAAACCATGTAATGAATATGTATTGCCAGGTAAACATTCCTACATTTAGCAATGCTCCACCCATCCCCACCCCCCCTCCCCCCCCCAAAAAAGAAAAGAAATATACTTCAATCTGCATTCTAGGCTCAACACTTCTCTGTCAGGTAGACATTGCATTGATTAGAGTTTTTAAATCTTTCAAAGTTGTTTTTCTTTACAAGGTTGTTGTCTTCCTGGTTTTGCTCTAGACAGGTTTTCTAAACAAGTCAGTTTAAAAGACCTCTAGATCCAAATCTTGATTGAATGTCATCAGTGACTGTAGACAAAGTGTAGATTGTAGATAATTCATACTACAGGGTAAACTTTTATTTATGTCTTAACTCTATCTCCTTTGGCATTCCTTGTTGATCAAAATAACATAATTAGCAGCTCGTTTTACCTTACATGGAGTTGAGATTGCAGTCATAAATATCAAGAAGGTACCGGGACAACATATGTGATTTCTTCTTGTTGAATTGTTAATCGTGTCTGACTCTTCATGACCCATTCGGGGTTTACTTGGCAAAGATGCTGGAGTGGTTTTTGCCATTTCCTTCTCCAGTTTATTTTTTTACTTCTTTACTCAGCAGAGAAGTGGGAAACTATGAGTATGAAGTATATGGTGCCACATGTGGTGGCTGTATCAATTTTATTTCTTTTTCTTAGTTACAAGGGAGGAGTGTATGGTAAGAGTTATGCTGAGAAACGAAACTTTTAAAAATACAAAAATCTGGTAGAAATTTGAACTTTGGGTTTTATAGACGATATTAAGATGCAGTGGCTAGAGTTAGCCATGGAGTCAGAAGACCTGGGTTCAAGTGCTGACTATGTCCTATATACCATGTTATACCAAGGCTTTGTGGCCCTGGGCAAACCAATTAACCTCTTAGCCCCCCGGGCACCAATCCAAGACAATAAATTGCAAGGCAGGCACATAAATAAGCAATGGTAAAGGCAATGATTCACTAAACTCATAAAGTTAAAAGTTAATTTTTTAAATATGGTTAAGTTATCAGTTGTTGGCTATTAATTGCAGAGATATGGTAAATATCACCACATCCATGATGGGAGGAGAAAATTTTTTTTGCTTAGGGGATTTCAGGACATTTTGGAGATCTGAGTTTGGAGTTCTTCTTTTTGGATGGGTAGGGTAAGCAGAGAAGAACGTGGCAGATTCAGGAATGAAAAGCCATTGGCTATAATGGAGACTAGGAGTAGGTTTATGACTGAAGATGTGGACTAGCCAGGAGGGGAATCCCTATAGTCTTCACAGGGACTTACCAGCCCTGGTTACTACCTAATTTTGTTGGCAGTAGACCCAAATGAAGAAAAATGACCCCGGCTGCTTCTTTTTCTTATGAGAGGCAACAAGGTGCTACAGTGGGCTTGAGTTCAAATTTGGCCTCAGACATGTCTTATCTGTGATCTTGGGCTAGTCACTTAACCTTTTTTGCCTTTTTCCTCATCTGTAAAATGGAGATAACAATAGCACATAACTCAAAGAGGTATTGTAAGGATCAAGTGAGGTTTTTGTAAAGCACTTAGCATAATGTCTGGCATGTAATAGGCACTATATAAATGCTTCTTCCCCTCCACTGCTTATGATTCTGACCCCCAATGTTTATTCCAGGGGCCCAAGTAGACCAGTCTGTCTTTGAGGAACTTATAAGAGAGAGACTTCCAGAACTGGCTGAACACATGAAGGATCTATCCACTCTGGCTTCCATCTCCCTTTCTTGGTTCCTGACCTTGTTCCTCAGCATCATGCCTTTAGAAAGTGCTGTGAATGTCGTAGACTGTTTCTTCTATGATGGGATCAAAGCCATCTTCCAGTTGGGGTTAGCTGTGCTAGAAGCAAATGCAGTGGAGCTATGTAGCAGCAAAGATGACGGCCAAGCCCTGATGATCCTTAGCAGGTTGGTGACCTTCCCATCAGACCATGGGTCACATAGCTTGTCCTAAAACAAACTGTCCCGGGGTGGGGAAGTTACATCGAAGCTGTTGTATTGGGAAGTCGCTTATGGAAATCCTACTACAGGTATGCTGGTGGCATCCTAACAGAGTTTAGCTCTTTGATTTCATCTTGCCGCTGCCTTATTTTCAGCATTTGGATTCAAGAGTTGATGTGCTTTTGTGATTAATCAGTTTCCTCAAGATATGGAGGAGCACCCCTACTTCTGTGTGGTGTGGAACACGACCTTCTACTTCTACAAGTCTAGATATGGGAGCTCCCCCTTCCTTGGACTCACCCCTTGCATTGTGAAGAAAAGTCTCAGGAGGTCAAAAGCTTTATGTGCATTCTAAAACAAAGTTCAACTGTCTGGTTCTGCACTGGCTCAGGCCTGATCGGGAGCATTTT